ATATATATATATATATATATATATATATATATATATATATATATAAAGAGAGAGAAAGAGAGAGCTTCACTTTACTTCAATGAACACAAAAAATTATCCAAAACCAACTAGATAGAAAGATATCCCAAAGAAAAAAATTAGAGACAAATCCGAGCAGGAAAGGTAACAGAAAATTAAACTCATGTAATTCACTCCCAAGTCTAGAAAATAAAAAGGGCATATAGAAAGAGAGCTATTGATCCATAAGTGAAGTAAACAAAATCAGAAGTAGCCACTTACCATTTCATTAACATTCCCAGAATAGTAACACACTTGGACAATGCTTTACCATCGCAAGTGTTGGAGACGAGATTGTCAACGACATTGCAAATGATAGCCACCACATCAACCCTACAGTCAAGCAATAGTAGCAATCAGATGATGGAACAAAGAGTGTAGACATGGCACATGTACAGGACACATCGGGAAATACCGCATCACTACTACCAATGATGAAAATCATCCATGCCACCAGAAATTGCTGACTGTTCAGACAGCTGTAATACGAGCTGTAGAAATATGAATTATAAGGACTAACACATCAGACCTCCCTAGGTGACTCGGCTATATTGCATGGAAAAGCCCTATTTGATGGCAAAAAGTAAAAACAGAATAATGTTTCTGATCCAATGAGGGGTTTTGTGTATTATTGGGATTCCAACAACCCATTCATGTGACCACACAATAGACATTTCCCAACAAAAGCCCACAAGCAAACCTAGTAACTATCCACAACTCGAGCTCATTTGACTGAATTATGCACCAAACATACATTCCAGAAGATAAACCCCAACATCAGACACAGGAGCCCACAATTTATGGAGGATTAAATGGGTATCATTCACTTCAACAATACCAGGAGATATTTTTCTATTCAATCCCAGACCATAGAAAACCTAAACAGTAAGAAATAGGGAGAAGTCAAACAAATCCAAATCTGCGGAGTAATTGTGGTTACAGTTGTGATTTAAATTGGCATCTAAAACGTGGAAAAGAACCAAGCACAGCCCCAAACCAACCCACACACACACACACTCCTCCACCCCCCCCCTTGACAAAAAAAAAAAACCGACACCACCCAAACCCAAAGGAAAAAAATTTAAGAAAATAATAATAAAATAACTAATAAAACTTAAAATAAATAAAAGAACAAGAAAAGCAACAACCATTTTTTAACAAGGATCATGGCAAAGAGAAAAGTGCATATTATTGTTTCTTCATCACTTTATGAGCACAAATATTCATAGCGCTGGTCTTAGATAAGTACAAAATATCTTGTGCACATCATAGTCTCACAAAGTATTTCTGCATAATCACATCTTGTTAGCGCATGCAAAAACGTGTACATCAAGTTTTATTAGTACACAACATTTTTAGAACTCCTCAGGGTAGTTTCTAGGTTTTAAAAATTCATATAAGGAAACATTCTAGGGATCAAAAAAGGGAAACAGGACAAGAACAAGTCAAGGAGGCAAAAAGAATTGATCCAGATGAATGCAAGTGCATACCGCAAATTCTCTTCCACGTGCCCACCCATCAAAGAACCTCGCAACGGCAAAGAATTCCCAATGTCCGTCAAGTATATGCGCAAAGCCTGAAAGACATAGAAACCTTGAAGCAATTCAACCTAGAAAAAGGAACAGAAACGGATTTTATTTGGAACCATGAAAACAAACTAAACAGTTCATCCATGCCGAATCCTAAAAGTAGAGGAATAGGACAATCGAAGAACAAGTATGCAACGAAAAGTAGGAAGATCACATATGTGATTTTAGTCCATAGTGGCTGGACTTGACTTGGAATATACGAATATAATATATGCTCCAACAACAGCTACAAGTGAGCAGAAGATACAGGAACAAGCTCCAACCGTTTGTATAATGTGCCCAAGCTAAAAAATGGGAAGGATTCAAGTTTTATACAACTACAAATGAATGATGTTGGCTATATTTTGTGACTTAGTGAAACTTGGAGTACAAAGTGGAAATCACGTCACCACTCCCAACCAAGCCCCCTAAGTAACTATTTGCAAGTTAAGGTATTGGCTAAGATAGTTTCTAGGATCTAGCTGAAAAAGAAACAAGAAATGTTAAGAATCATTCAATTTTTTTCAAGAAGTAAAGAAGGGGACGGAATTTGTCACAACATGTCATTGGAACAATTTACCAGTGATGATCACAATGTTTGTAGCAAGTGTTGGAGTTTGTGGCCTTTAAAGGCCTTGAGAGCATGTAAAACTAAACATTTTATAGTGGATTTTCAAACTCCAATGTAAGATCACATTAACCCTTGAGGTTGGACGGTATATGGCCCAAGATCACATTAAAACCCTTGCCCCTAGGCATAGGCATTACTAATAAGGCTGGTCATCCCTTATTAAGTTCGAATAGATGCCCAAGGATGATGATTGTAGCAATTGTTATGGGCTCATGCCCATTAAAAACTGTGTAACAGCTGTCGCTTCTACGCATAATGGGTCTCACACAGTGGCTGTTATGGTGTTATCGGCTCACGCCCATTAAAACATGCAACTCCTATGAATAATGTACCTCATATGACCATTTGAACATGTTGTAACAATTATTGTAACTCCTGCTATAATGGTCGTAATTCTTTTTGCATGTTGACCTACCCATACTGTAACCCCCATATAGTCTTTGTATATATAGGGCACATTGCCTTACGATTTGTAGTGTGTGAAAAACATATGTATTTACCTTATCTTGTGCTTCAATATTAACTTAACTCTCTTCTCTCTCAATCTTAACAATGACGAGAGCCAGTAAGCTGCCGAGACTCCTAAGTGTGGTTGCAAGCATGTGAGGACAAGGGCAAATTCTCAACAACCACTGCATGGCATGTATACTTCAGAACCACATTTTGAGAAGCAACCCTATAGAAAGTGAACGGTGTACATGTGTATAAGAGTGCCCCCCTTGCAATATAGTAATATGTGCGTTTATGCATCCTTATGGATATGACTTGCTCTTTTTGTTGTGAGGACGACCTGTAATCCGCACACTAGGTGTGTGGTCGCTATTTATTGGCCAGCTTTAATGGACCAATCGTGAGCCCCTATGATTAACTGTGATCACAAGTTCTATTCGGTTGGTTTGAGAAGATGATTATGGATCACAGATTCTAGCATAAGTGAAGTGCCTCAAAGATGTCACTTACTCCTAACACATTGGTATCAATACACTTCTAGTTTTGATTTAAATGTGATTTGGAATTATTGGAAAGTCAAATATAATTCCAACTTTATTTACGCTCCTGGGATTTTTAAATACATTTTAGAATTTTTAAAATCTAGTTTAGCCACTAAAAAGCCTTAAAAGATAAATTTTGAGATTTCTACACTCTGTAGGGGCACATACTTAAGTGAAAGCCACGTTTGGGAGGGTGCGGGGTCAGTTCCCCACATGTGAGGGGACCACATGGGGTGGGAAGTGAGGCTCGAAAAGGCCACACAGTGGAACCCCCCATGATATCCCAAGTTGTTGGGAGATCTCCTACATGATCCGGTTGAAACATGGCAAATATTTTCTATTTGAAACAGATTTCCTCTTTTGACTTCAGATTTCTAAAATAATCAGAAGTTACTTCTATGTGAGATAAGAGTCCAAATTTTATGGGATTATTATAAAAGATATAATAAGAGTTTAAACAAAAGTGGATATGGGTTAAGGATCTGAGAGATAATGGTTCTAGGATTGCTCCTTGATCATGATATTGATGAATGGATGGTTCAAATATAATTTTCTTAAAATCACAAATTACCTAAAAGTCCTATGGTCATATTTGGGTCCTAAAGGAAGATGGCATACCTACACCATGAAGGCCTAATAAGGGAGTACCCCTAATTCCCACCATCAGTTTCTCTAGCCTCTCTCCCCTCCATGCTCTCTCTCTCTCTCTCTCTCTCTCTCTCTCTC